TATATATATATATATATATATAGGCAAATAGCATGCAATGAAGTGTCCGAAAACATTGCATTCAGTTAACAGCATATTATTTCCGTTATAAGCAGACTTTTTTAGAAGTATGCTAAACTCTACTTTGTGTACACAGGGGACCCTGGTGCTGTTAAGCCAGTGACTAGATACCCCACAAGCACTGACCCACGGCGCTGTGGTGGAGGCTGAGCACGGAGCCCATGCTGCTGAAGCGGCAGATGAGCGGACATCCCTCCCGCTGCAGCGCATACGCCTCGATCTTACAGCCGCCGGCGCTCACCACGAACAGCGCCCCGCCGCCGCAGCACACCAGCCCGGGCTCCTGCTCCGCCGACACGATGTGCTGAGACGCGAACGGGTGGCAGTTATAGACGTGCACCATTTCTGCGGCGGGGGCCGGAGTCTACATGTCCGAGAAGAATCACGGAAGAGCTGCGGACACAAAGAACACGTGACAGAATAACAATCCACGTGACACGGGAATTTAAAGGAGGCGTGGCTTCGCGGCCCGGAAGCGGTCTCTAATTGGTCAGGTGCGATCGGTCTACATATCAATGCTGCTATTTTAACCATTCACTGTGTATTTTGTAATTCAATTGCTGTTCGAGTTTCTCGTTGTCATGATTCAGGTAATAATAAATTATTCAGACCCCTGCTGGAGCATCACAGAGTCACGAGAGGGCTGTTACTTTTCTCAGCGCTGATCAAGCTGAACCAATCACAGTCGTTTGAGTTTATTTAGCCAAAAAACATTTTATAAAGATTGATGCGGCGGATTTTAATGTGTATGCCAGGAACTAAATATTACTGTTAAAAGTGTTAAACGATTATATGTGATCACGTTGAAATGTTTTACATAAGACAAAAGTCGCCTGGAGATTTGAATGCAGCCCAATGGAGGGCTGGTCTTCCTGAGCCACCGGTAAGAGTTCATCAAGCGCTGCACAACGCTGAGTGCTCCACAGTCTGATCAGCATCACATGCCTCAGTCTTGTGACGATCAGCACAAACACATTAACACCGTCAAACAAGTGCACGCTTATGAATGGAAAGTAAAAATAGCTAATACACACTTGTGTGAATGTTAAAATAAATAAATTGATTGTACAAAAATAAATAAATAATAATACTAAATACATTAAACCACTTACTGTGCGCCCCTATTTTTGAGCATTTTCTGAAAAACGACATACCCAAATAAAAATATCTGTAGCTCTTGAACCCTATGGTCTATATTTATAAATCTGGTATTGTTTGAAACTAGACACTTGAACCTTTGTTACTCTGGAGTCATAATAACTCGAAATTAGTATAGCAACAGAGTAAAACAAGGTAAATTGTACATGAAAGTGACTCACGATATCTTTGAATGAAATTCACTAAGGGAAAAATGGATGAGGCTTTAATGCTATTGGCCTGAAAACACCATAAAAGATAAAGCTGAATGTCTGACCATATTTTGATTCAAATTTGAAGATTATACTCCCAAAAATTTAGTTTCTGTAAGCTTTTATTTAAAAAAAAGTCTAGGCTGTTTTTTTTTTTCAAAAAAAGCCATTTGGAGACTCCAAATGGACACCTGGGAACCAAATGACCAAATGAGGCAAAACTACATAATGCATATATGTATATCAATTCAGAACTGCTCTGCCCACCATAACACAAGAAAAAACTATTTCTGAACAGCAATTGTAGTGTTGACTCATTTGGTTACCACCAGGTGTCCATTTAGAATCTCCAAATGGCTTTTTTTGAAAAAACGCCTAGACCTAGATTAGGAAAAGTCATTTAGATCTTTTATTTCAAGAAAAGACTAGGAATCCTTTCAAAAAGGCTCTTTAGAGACTCCATATGGCACTGCATACTACATATACTACATAGATAGGCTATATGTATATCAATTCAGAACTCATCTACCCATGAAACCACACACAAACACAAAACTATTTCAGAACAACATTTGAACATTGTAACTAAACAGTATTTATTTTGAACAATTCTAATAATGAAAACAGTGAACCAAAACAGATTTGATCAGTGATCATTTTAGAGCTAATAACCACAAAATAATTTTTTTTACATTTGTAATTGTAATTTTTTTTTCTCTGCTAATTATTATGAATATTCAGTTACTGAAAAACTAAAGCAACTATTTACAGTGTAGGACACTCAAGGCAGTCACTAAAAAGTTTTGTTCTCTGACCAACTGGGTACCAAAGTCACTGAAACACAGGAAAGAGAGAGAGAGAGCGTGTAAACACAACAAATCAAACTTGCAACACTGTGTTTACATGTTGTATACATACACACACACAAACATACATAATACTCGGGCTAACATGACACAAAATCTGCAAACACATGACAAACATTCAAGAGAACGGCGTTGAAACTTGCTATACGTGCTATATGCTGCCTGTCATGCATCTCTCCGGGTCTTTCTGCTGCTGTTCACCACTGCTTCACATCACGCCCTCCAAAACACTTTCAAACAGCACACAAACTCTTCTAAAGTCGATGTCCCACGATGGAGAGATTCAGATGCACGCTTCGGAGAAAGTCCGCTCGCGGATAAACACTGCGTGCAGCGCGCGACGCCATTCTGTGACCGCAGCGTGCTCACAGACGAGAGCGCACTCAGCTCAGAAACACACACTCGCTTTGCGCACGAGTATTATTCAAGCCTTCTTACGTCAACTGTTCAAACTGTCAATCACTGTAAACGTGCTTGTGATTGGCTAACACTTCCATCCATCAAAACTTTGCTGGCTAGGCATTGGCTGGCTTCAAACAGCCCAAAATTGCGGAGCACAGATCGGCACCTCGCTAAACCTGTCAGCGACTCCGTCTCTGTTCTGGGTTATAACATCGCCTGTGATTGAAGGAGAGAGACTGGGCGGGCTCATTTTGCTCGGAAGAGACTATTCTATATGAAACAAATGTCATTTCAAAGCTGGAATCGATATTTCTTTGAAAATGGACGCTATCTACAACTATAACTTGAATCGCTCATGTAAACTAAGGGGGATCTTTCGTTTTTTCCTCCTATTTTTTTCGTTGTTTTGGATTAAAAAGTGGGATGCATTTTGAAGAGTGGACTCTTATCTTGAAATGTTGTGTTGGTGTTTCTTGGTATAGTCCGAGCTGACCAGAACTAGAGGCGATGAAACGTAAGTACTGCGTTCACTTTGTACATGTTTTAAACGCCGGTCCTTCAGCATTTATGTTAACCCTTTCCTCTCTGGCGTATTGATTTGAAAAACAAGCTCAGAACATGGATCTTGAGTGTTTTAGCTTCCAAATGATATATAGTTTATGATAGTTGATTGAATATTGTTTTAAAACAAAGGTAATAAATAGCACAGACACGCCTAGACACGCCCTTCGGTGCGGGTTAACAGGTTAAATTGTTCTCTACAACCAGTCTAGTGAAGGTTTTCCTCAACACTTCAGACTTTGGCTTGCTCATTGGCAGTGCAGTTTGTAATGCTGCATGGGCACTCTGTATATTTTGAAAAGCACTTTATAAATAAATGTAATAGAATTTGTTTTACAAACTGAGGGCCAGAACCTTTTTTTGATTGTTTGTGGTAATCTGCTGATGGTGACACGGTGCAGTGGAAGGAGGGTAGCGGAGGTGAGGATCTAATAGCAGGATCTAGTGATGGGCGCTTTCGAAACACTGCTTTGTGAAGCTTTAAAACCTTTGTGAATCATTTGTTTTGAACCAGTGATTTGGTGTGTATGAAACTGCCAAAGTCACATGACTTCAATAGATAAGGCTTAGTTGTGTCATAACTGATTTGAAACATTTTAAAGTTTCAATGGTTCGCTTATGGCGAGCTCAGTGAACCGATGAAGCAGTGTCTATATGGTTTTTAGCTGATCTCGAATCAGTTTTATAAATCTGTAGACATTTTAATGACACATTTGTATAATAAAAATGATGAGTTGTAGTTAATAGTCTCTTAATGGCCTGAAAAACCAAGCTTTGCATAAAATGAACAAAAGCATAAAGGTTGTTTTATGCATATTTCTGTTATTTGCACTGTTCTGACCAGCAGGCATCACCAGCATGTGGAGTTTTAAGTGCTTCGTTTTTTGTGAAGCAATTGGTTCAGTTTATTCAAAGTTTCGAAACGCTTTGTTTCTCTCATCTCTAATTTTAGCATTTATTCAAAAACAGAAGTTAATAGCACACATCAAGATAATAATAGACTGAACGGAAACACAAACTATAAATACACAGAGTAAAGAAGAACTGGTATTTAGCTTTAACTAGCATTTTAACTAGTTCTTAATTGTTAGTTCTTACATTTTTGTGTTTTAGATTCTCATGTTGGTTATTGTAGATCCACAAGGCAAAGACGATGCTTAAAATTGTTTGCGTTTTAAAAGGTAATTGCAAAAAATTATTCTGTTCAATTTAAAAGTGCACCAAGTGATTTTACTGATCAATACAGCAGAAAAATTACTTAGTGCACCTTGACAAATCAGTGTCACTCATGTAGTAAATGAATTAATTAATCAAATGAATGCAACTACAGTAGCAGTACTACTGTCACGTCCTAACTGTATATATGAATTCTATAGTTGTATCTATATGTATTTTGTGTCAATTGCCTGTTTTCATTTCCTGTCTTCCTATGATTGAGTTTGTTATCCTGGTGAAATGTTCATAAAGAAGGTGAATGCAATAGATACCATTTTTCCTTTGTAAAAACATAAAGCATGTGGGAGATCCATCAGTAATTTTGTTAATGATGCAAACTGCTTTGGTCAACGTATGCTAATGTAATGAAAGTATTCTGGATATGAAACATGTTAATGGCAGGTGTAAAGAGGGCTGCTGTGTGTCAAATCTTCAGTTCTGTAGTTTTGGCCTGTATTGCATCACTGTTTACCATCAAGCAAACAGGAGCATATAGAGCAGTAGCAGATAAAGACTGTGTTTGCTGATAGCTGCAGGTGAAAGTTCAGTCTTTTGTGTAACAGTTGAACTGTATTTTTCATCTGTGATGTCTTTGATGGCTCTCTAGTAAAAGGGTTTCAGAAATACAGAGATGAGGATGCAGCCTTTGCTCTTGGTGTTGTTGGTGTGTGTGTTCTGGCAGCACGGCAGCTCCTCCCTCATGCCAGCTGAATGCCAAGACGCCGCTGTGGTGAAGGCAGCGGAGGAGACCTTAGAGCAGATCAACGCAGACCGGCAGGAAGGGTATGTCCTCTCACTCAACCGACTTTATGATGTCAAACAGGACATAAAGGTGAGTGTTCATGCTAGTATGGATGCATTTGAATAGGTTCTTGCATGAAAATGTCAAATGGGTCAGTGGTGAACAAGGATTTCCAAAATGACAAGGAAAAAATCTTGTATGAAATCATGGAAAAAGGTGAAGGTTAATGGGATAATTCACCCAAAAATTACAATTCTGCCATCATTTACTCTCCCTCAAGTTATTTCAAACCTGTATGAGTTTCTTTCTTCTGTTGAACACAAGAAGATATTTTGTAACCAAACAGTTGATGGACTTCCATAGTATGGGGGAAAAAATACTGTCAACTGTTTGGTTCCCAACATTCTTCAAAACATCTTATTTTGTGTTCAACAGAAGAAAGAAACTCATACAGCTCTGGAACAACATGAGGGTGAGTAAATTATGGCAGAATTTTTATTTTTGGGTGAACTACACCTTTAAGTAGAGTTAAAAGTAATGGTAAAATAAATTACAAAGTAATAACATCTACATCTTATGTCTTCCATATATAAACTTTTCAACATGTTTAATTATCATTTATTTGTGTTGAAATGTTTACTAAAAGTTTTTTTCTTCCAAACACAAAATGTTTCCTGACTATGTTTCAGAATGTTGTATCATTATTGCTTTTTTTTTTTTTTTTACTTTTCAAACTGTCTGTACATTGTTTATACATTTTTTTTTCCCTAACTGATCCTCTTCTCAGGTTCATACATGCTGGTATATTAAAATACACTATATTAAACTAAAGGAATGACTGATTGATGCCTGTGGTGGAGGGAATTGCATGTTGCAGCATTAAAATGGACTGTGTGTACAGAAACAAGATTTCCAACACGAATGCATACATCCCAGTGAACACAGCAGGCTAAATAAACAGATTCCCATCAGAGAGTACAAGTCCATTTCAAGTTGACTCGCAGCTGGTGACCAGAGCTAGTGGTATATTTATTAAACAAAAATAAACCGCACTGGAAGGCAGGAGAAACTGCAGGAAAAAACTACATTATATTATATATATATGAAAAATGTACAAATATATATATATAAAAAAAATTCCAATTAATTTTTTTTTAATTTTCAAAAAGAGTTCAAAAGATATGGAATAAATGGAAGATACACAAACACTGAATACATAAGTGTACATATCTTACTATTTTTAACAAAAAAATTTTAAGATGAAAAGTATAATTACAAACCTTTTGAAGTTTTCAGTTTTTTTCGCCATAAAAAAGATCAAACTATCAGATAATTTTTTTTATTATTCTTTTTTTTTTACAAATATATCGTTTTATGGAACCGAAATCTGACATGCATTCTAAATTAATATTTCCATTGTCAAAAAAAAATCTATTTTTCAAATAATTCTTTTAATGTGAAAAAGTGTACATTTTTATTTTCCACCAAATATGTATTTTATTTGGAACTGAACTAAAAAAAAAACAAAAAAAACATGCAATCTGAATTTACATTGCCATGTCAAAAATCAAATGATCAGATATTGTTCAAACATAAAATGTGATCCTTTTTATTATTTTCCACCATAAAGATAAATTATGAAGCTTGGATCTTTGAAATGTTATTTAATGCTAGTTTAATTAATGTCATGTTTGCTTCTAACAAAGGCGGAAGGTGTGAGACATTTACAGCTGACGATAGATGTACTGGAAACAGAGTGTCATGTGATCAGCCGGAGAAAATGGAAATCCTGTGCTGTTAAGGGGATTGGTAATCTGCCGGTATGTGATTGACTCTGTAGACCAGTTCATTAGAACTTCACTGGCCAGTTAACAGACTTTTCACATTCAAATACTTGTATGTAAGTATGTATATGTTTATATTCTGTTTGACTAAAGAGTTCACTGTTATCTAAACTCTATTAGGTGTTTGGGACGTGTGATGCATCGGTTTCCCTTCAGAGCTCCATCAAAGTTCAGAATTACAACTGCACCATCCAACAAGGTGTGCGGTGACTGCATTAACGACTCTGACTTTAATGGATTGTTCTGTCCATTACCATTAAAAATAGTTACATCTGAGATTTTGAAGTCTATGTGGCGAGGCATTCTGGAGAGTTGCAGAAATGTGCTGCTCATGTTTTGTCAAAGGGTTTAAATCACTTCTTCCATACTAAAATATGTAATTTTCTTTGTAAAGTTACCTAAAATGTCCTTGTAGCAGTAAAGACATTTCTGTCATCACAACTCTCGGAGGGATTGGCATGGTAATGTACATGACAATGTTAATGTATTTGGTCTTGGCGGAATAGATCTGCTACACTGTCTGCTGCTGCGGCAGAACAAGTACCGAGACTTGCTACTGCCAATACATCCAAAACATGCTGCTGTGAGCATGTAAGATATACTGCTGCTGCACATATAACATACATGAATCACCTCGTAGCAGATCTATACAGGTGGAGCTGGGGAAGGTGGAGGGTTTCTGAAGCAAGCTGCAACTGCTACAGCAAGCATTAGTCATATATTTGAATGTTGAGCAGCGAGCTCATTGGCTACCAATACAGGAGAGAACCAATCAGCTGTGCCATATGATAATGATGTCATTAGGTCAGGTTGAATTAGACCTATCAGACTGCGCCATCTAGAGTTTCATGCTAGAACTCTGTATATATACCACATATATTTTGCAGGCATTTAGTTGAAAGTTAATATATGCAAGAAACCTTTGGTTAGATGTCTAGAAGCTCAGGAGTCCCCAGATTAATCTAGAAAATGAAAACATCTCACAGTAAAAGACACAAAGAGCTGTATGAGAGAGAATTTTTAACAGAGGAAAGCATGTTATACATGTTATTCAACTTATTAGTCCACAGTGACAATATTTGTAGATTTGTGGCTTTATATAATGCTTTGTCCATAGGTATAATGCTTTTTAAAAATGTGTACTTTGTAAAATGTTGACTTGGTCTCACTGTTTTACAGTGGCAGCTCGAGCTATAGTAAACACTTGCCCTGACTGTCCAACTGCAGAACACTTAGATGATCCAGTTATATCTGAGACCACAAAGCTGGCCCTGCAGAAATTTAACAAAGAGAATGCTTTCCCACATTTCTTTGCTCTTCTGAATATAACAGCAGCCAGCATGCAGGTATGTCAATGCCAATAAATCAACTGATAAATTAATTCTGTCCTGCATACATGACAGGAGATGTGTTGTGTGTTGCAGTGGGTTGTGGGTCCATCTTACTTTGTGGAGTTCACCATTCAAGATACTGACTGCAAGAAAAGCACTGCTGATATTGAGCTCACGCAATGCAAGCTGAAGGACTCGGAGTCAGCTGTAAGAACTCATGCAGATCCATATAAAATGAAGAACACTCTTTAAACTTGCTTAATGTAATGACTTTGCCATTAAAATGTCTGTAAGTGCAGTAACCTTTCTTTCTATTGTCTAAAGCACAAGGGGTTTTGCACTGGTTCACACATCAATGCTGATCACGGGCTGGAGATTAAAGTTCCAGTTGAGGTCAAATGTGAAATATTTCAACCAATGGTGAGTGGTTTGTATTGCTGAGGAGTGACAAGTAGCAATATTACTAACTTAGAGCAGATAAACGCAGACATGCAGGAAGGGTATGTCCTCTCACTGAACCGACTTTGTGATGTCAAACAGGACATAAAGGTGAGTGTTCTTTAAAAAAAAAAAAACAGTGACGTGAGATGTTGCTAAGTATGGTGACCCATACTGGGAATTTGTGCTTTGCATCTCACCCATCCAAGTGCACACACACGGCAGTGAGCAGTGAACACACACACAGAGCATAGGGCAGCCGTTTTTTTTTTTTTTGCTGCGGTGCCCGGGGAGCAGTTGGGGGTTCGGTTCTTGCTCAAGGGTCTCACCTGAGTCGTGGTATTGAAGGTGGAAGAGAGCGCTGGTTATTCACGCCCCACACCGACAATCCCTGCTGGTCCTGAGACTCAAACCGTTCTTGCATGAAAATGTCAAATGGGTCAGTGGTGAAAAAGGATGTCCAAAATGATAAGGAAAACATCTTGTTTGAAATCTTGGAAAAGGGTGAAGGTTAAAGGGATAATTCACCCAAAAATGAAAATTCTGCCATCTACTCTCCCTCAAGTTATTTCAAATCTGTATGAGTTTCTTTCTTCTGTTGAACACAAAAGAAGATATTCACGACAGGACAGGCTGGAGATGAACGTTCCTGCTCCTGTTGCAGGAATCGTGCTGCTTGATATTTTTGTGGAAACCAAAATATTATTTTTTTTTTGATGAATAAAACGTTCACAAGAACGGCATTTATTTGAAATAAAAAACTTTTTCAAATATTAAAAAAAAACATTTTGAACAGTAGTGTATCTGCTAAAAGTCAGCTTTTAGAAGTAAGCTAGTGGATGAGCTCAAAGCTAACTAAAGAGTGTTGTTAGGTTCTGATAGATTATAGTGTAACTAACTTGACAAACTAAAGTTTCAGTATAGAGGATTTGTATGTACTGCTTTAAATCAGCCAGAGCAAACAAAAAGTATCTGAACCAGTGAAAGACCGGTTTGTGATTTTTCATTTTACTTTTGATGTTCTCCAGGCTGTTCCACAAGGACCTTTAGGATCAGTACATGTTCTCTCTCCTCCACCCATCCAAACTGCCCCCAGAGTCCAGCCCATGGCCAGCAGCTGCCCGGGGGAGAGACGACACAACCTTGGATTGACAGAGCTGAATTTCTGATTGAAATCACTTAAAACCCGGCCATCCATAAACAAGCACTCGAATTTCCCAAAAGACAAATGTGGTCTGTGCTCTCATTTTCAGATTGAGATTTTTCAAGTATATAGGTTTTTCGCCTAGGCACAGTAACATATCAATAAAGAAATTCTTAACAGAAGCACAGAATTTCAGAAAACCTTAAAAAAATGCCAGAGTCATATTTCACCATAAAAAATAGAAATAGAAAACAAAAAAGTATATTTCACTTAAGAAAGTGTTTCACTTTTTTATTTATTTTTTTGCATTGGACATTGTTTTCATGACAATTACACCTAAACCTTTTACATATTCTCATTACTATAAAGGAAAAATATATTGTCAGCATCAATACTGCAATGTGAAAAAAATAAAATAAATCAAGTATCGGAAGTCAAATACATTATTATTTAGTCATTTTTTATATTGCTTTTAATATAAGCGCAATTATAATTGTCAATAATGATAAATTAATTATTAAAAATAATAATTGAATAATTGTATTAATGAGAATATTCATTTGCTAAATATTTTTAATGGAATTGTCACAATACAACCATTTTTCTAACCAATGAGCTAACTGGGACGTTTTTGTGATATTCACCCTCCTTAAAAATATACAGTCTAAGAATGGCTGACTGCAGGAACACAATGTATTAGGCCTACTTTAGAAATCCTATGAGATTTGAGTTGAATAATTATTTAACATCTGTAGCGAATCAGCTCATGGGGAAATATGAAAAATTTATCATAACTAGTTATAATTAATTATAAATATTTAGATCCGCTGTAGATATTTAGCTGACCTCTCAGGGTCAACTGTGTCAATTCTAAGAACGTTAATTTCCTGGTTAAAGGAAATAACTTTCTTACTGTACAACTCTACACAGAGCTTGTAGCATAAATCTGCATGATTAGGGACTCCAGTTATGAGCAAACAATGAACAACGTCAAGTGTGATACAAGTAAGACTTTATTAACTATATAAACACTTAAACTAGTCTAACATACTACATAAACACTTAAACTGGTCTAACATACACATACACACACACACGCATACAGTTGGTATAGGAAAGGGTTAAAGCTTAACTCAGTAAAGAGGAGAGAAAATAAGAATATGAAGTTATGGAACATTTGCATATTCAGCAGATCTACAGCCTGAAGGAAACATCAGATTCTTAGTTCAAACACACTTTTGTAAAAAGGTGCAAATGATACCTAATGTATCAATTAATAAGACTAAGTTTGAATACTTGCACGTCTTGTCTGTCTGAAAGAAAGGCTGGATGCAGTCCAAAGGTTCAAGTTGATCTTTGTTGAAGTTTGTTGTGTAAATTCCGTACTTAATGAACCTATAAACCTCCTATATACACTTTGTCCATCACCTGTAGCTGTCATAAATAAATACAGCCCTTACCTCTCATTAATGGGATGTGTAGTGCGAGGTCCAAGGTTCACGGCGAAACTTCCTGATCAGCTCAGCAGGGTTTTCACCACTATGAGGTCCGCACAGGAGATTTATGAACTAAATTCAGATAATGTGTTACCCTTAATAAATTACTCAGAGACTTGATTAAAAGAAAGTTTATCGCATCACCATATACAAATGGTTTCGCTTTATTAAAAACAATAACTCATAAGCAAAATTCAAGAAAATAACAGCGTGTAATCTTCACCCGTTTCTCGGCCCCGCAAAATCATAAAGCACTTGATTATATAGGAGAAGGCATTACAATTCTTCTCCTGCAAAGCATCTATTCAAACACTCCATTGGATAAATGCAAGACACACGAAACATTTGGTCACACCCCTTGTTTCAGCGAGTTGCAATTCTATTACATCATCACTCTAAGCGCAGCATACACACGTGCGTACATCTCCAAAAATACATACGGAGAGGTTCAAACAGAGTTTATCTCTGATTCGCTAACACAGGATGTCTGACCTTTATATGCTACTCACAGTTATGCATCTACTTTACTACAATGCAGCAACACCTTTGCAAAAAATATACGAGCAGGTTTTCACACCTTAGCATTTTCCATTTTTTCTGTTAACCCACATAGTGACACCTGCTCTCGCTTTTGACAGGATGTCAGTCTAACCGTTTATACTCTTATAAGTGGCGCTGACTTTTTGAATCCTCAAACAGTCAACCTCACTTTGCAAAGTTTCCATTTTCAAATTAAACTCATTAACTTCAATAAATTGTTTAACCCTTTTCATCAACCGTTTATTTATACGTTCATGTTGACGAATTATCCGTAGAAGTTCCCTTGCCGTTAGGAGCATGTCCATCGTCTCTTGTCCGGTCACTTATTCTCTTCTTCTCCATTTCTGCTTTCTTTTTTGCGCTCCGATGATGTCTCTTCTGCATGAAGTCTAAAAGCAGATCATTAATAGGAATCTCTATTTTACCTTTTTGGTTCAGTCTTCGAATATGTGGGGTTTGACCGGGAAATTGAATAATTCCTATTTCAAGTTGGTTGATGAAAAAGAACCAGTTTTGAGTCAGAGAATCTTGGTGAATGGAAAAGTCAAGGCCGAAGCCTGGCACGAGCTTAGGATGTCCTGGAGCCCAGTATGTTTATTGGGTGAGGGGTCTGTGAACGTTTGTTAATCTAATGAATAATTGATTTGTTAAATCAAATGAAAAATGGTGTGTCTGATTGGTCCAGACGCTACACATAATAGTATAATTGTGGTTAGAAGACTGTGCAAGTCGACAATATCTAAAAAATTTGGCCAATACAATAATAAACAATGAAAGCAACCAATCAATATTTGGGCTGTTTCTTCCTGTTCATCTGGAAGTACATTAATACTATCCATACTTCTATCAGTAGTAATACTGCTATTTCCTTTCACAATTACAGTGAGTTCATTTCGCAGATATATTCATAAACTTGGGAGATCTTATCTTGGAAGCAGTGATAACGCAACTGACTGGGGCCATTTTGGTTGAAGAAATAGGGGATAGTATCGATTTCAATTCAGATTCAGTTTCTGACAACACTGTTGACTTGACTGCACAGACACTACTGGAAGAGAACTGAATTTACGATTACATCACTGAATCAACAAGGAACTGACTTGAATTGATAAACTGACTGTTTTCTATTGATCTCTTGCACAGAACACGTTTTTCCTGTTTAACATGGTAAAGCCGCTTTAACACAATCTGTATTGTATGAAGCACTATATAAATAAAGGCAGAGATGGGAAGTAACGAAGTTCAGATACTTTGTTACTGTACTCAAGTAGATTTTTCTGGTATCAATACTTTACTTCACGATTTAACCTTTTGCTTTCACACCTTACATTTTTACACAAATATCTGTACTTTCTCCTTCTTACATTTTAATAACAGGCTCGTTACTTTAGTTTTAATTCGATAATAAATCTCTAATACATCATGAATCGGTTAGTCTTGACTGGCAACGGTTTGATTCGGCTCGCGTGCTCCACGCCTCCGATCAGAGTAATCAGTGCGAGAGACTCGAGAATGGAGGAGCAGAGAGGCAAAACTCCTGGGCCCGTATTCATGAAAAATCTTAGTGCTAAGAGTTGCTCCTAGTAACAAAATTCTAAGAAAAATATTAGAAATGTGGGTGTTTCCTCTTAAAATTAAAAAAGATCCTAGTGAAGAAAAAAGTAATTCAGAAAGCATCTTAACCCTTAAAAGAGGTCTTAAGGTCCAAAATTGTTAGGAGTACGGACGAGGACTTTTAAGAGGCTTAAGAGTTTCTTTAGCAGTGGAGAAAATGGACGAAACCTGAAGAGGGAGAAGAAATGTGTTGCACACAATGCATGACAGTGAGTTAATAAGACGCTATTAGATGGTGCAGGGATAATGTTTGTGACCGATCTTATTAGAGACACGTTAACATCTCCGACACCGCGCAGAAATGCCATAGCACCAGGAATGGAAGTAATCACTGCATTAACTACATGAATATATTTGGCAACTGGAAAAATGCAACTATGCAGCAGTGATGATTTGGGTCTTTCACAACCTTCTATAAGCAAAGTGATCACACAAACATTTACCTTATTGTGTCGCTGTTCATTTCCTATAAGATATGTTAAGTATGACAGCATGGTAAATAAAAATAAAGAATATATATATATATATATATAACATGAGTGTGTGTGTGAGAGAGAGAGAGAGTATGGTAAAACAGGAAAAATTACACTTGTAATTTCAAAGTGAAGGCTTATAATAGACCCAACTCTTAAAAGCACTCTTTTATTTCCTTCTTGGACAACCAACCAATCACAATCTTCAAAAGACTGTATCAAAGCTAGTAACGGGGTCAGCCCCGCCTCCTCACTAAGATTAATGTTTTTTTCTTTTCCAGTTGCTCTCAGATTGGTCCTGAATCACTTTTAAGATAAGACTCCTAGTTAGACAGGTTTAAGCTAAATTAGAAGCTCTCTGAGAGGATTCTTAGAATCTTTAAATACGGGCCCTGATCTGTTGAGGACTTCAAGTGCAGGTCAGTTTAAACTGTAAATAGGCTACTATAGTTTGGTATTTGTTTACTTAGTTAAGCTGGGCCTGAATTTCAGCACGGGGTTGCGCATAATTCTACACATTCCAGATTCTGCGTTTATAATGTGGGAAATTCCCACAAACATGTATGCACTATAGCATGTAGATTGAACCCAAACAGATTATCAGAGCAGTTCAGACATTTTAAAACTTTCTGTGAGATGTAATTTCACATTGTGTTTTCTTAGCTTCTAATAGGCATAGGTAGCATGTGTCTAAGATAATGGGTGGTTCTCAATTCTTATTTGTGCATCCTCGTTTCCTTTCCTCGTGTCTTAGCTTCACCCCTTCAGGATGTGAGGGAAGGATGCAAGGAAAAGACGCAAGGATAGAGGAATTGAATCAAGTGAAATGATATATCCTTGCTTCCTTTAGCGTCAATTAATGATGACTCTACACCGCTGGATTTAGCTTGCACGTTGGGATTCTTGAAGATGAGAGATAATTATTTATATTGTAATAGTTTCAACCTCCACAAAATACCACATTTGTCTATTTATTTTGTATATATTGCCATTATAAAAATGGTAATTAATTAAAAAAAATAAAAAAAAACAAAAGCAATAAGCCATTAAAATCAAGAGACGTAAATAAACGTAATTAAAACTGCTGAAAAGTACACGTTA